TAGCAAAGATGACTCTACTCTTTTCTACCTGCTCCAAGTTGTGTCCTCGTTCTTTGGCCTGAAGCCCAGGGATTGAGGAGGGTCAGTTCTATTGAGGTGACTGTGGTGCTGACTGGCTCCAGTGACCTACCTCGTAACCCTCTCCACATTTATTCTCCCTTTCTGGGAGGCACACAGTAGATAAAAGGACATTTTATATCTCTTATGCACAGCTGATGGCCTTTGGTCACCAAAGTAGGCATGTTAGAGCCTGAGGTTGTCAAACAGTAGATAAATAGTAAATGAGACAACTCCTCTGCAAAGGCAGTGAGACCTGCTATTTAAAAAAAAGAAAGAAAGAGAGAGAGAGAAAGAAAGGTTAGATTAGGGGCTTGCCTGTTATGGGGGCTACATCTTTCTGATTGCTTCACTCTCACCCCAACCATTTCTCTCCTCTGCTATGATTGTCAGGGGACCCAGAGGGTTGGCATCCCAATCAGAGCAGAGGGGGGCTTGGAGCCTGACACCAGCACTGGCAGTACTGGTGGTACGCCTGCTTCCTTGGGTGATTCACTGAGTGAATCATTGCTCTTCAGAGCATATTTCTCTCTCATATTCTTTCCCGTTAGTAAACACAGACATCAGTTTAAGAATCCTTGATACACCAGAAGAACCATTTACACAGCTTTGTGCGCATTAAAGGAAAAAATGCATCGCCCAAAGCATTGTGCAAAGACAGGTAAGTCATTTTGCAAAGTTTCCCCCTGTAATTTGATTTTTCAAAACAAGTCTTTCTCTGTGAACTCAAATAGGATTTGTTATATAAAATTCAGTTTACATCTAAATCTCCAGGAACACATAGATTTCATTGACTGGAGAATTTTATGCTTAATAGAAGCAAGAGAACAAAGCTAGCTCGCCATGTTTGACAAAGGGGTGGACGGAGGTTCTGCAGAGGATAACAGACCGATTATGAACATGAAAACCATAGAAAAGCTAGATTAAATCCTGATTCCACCACAGACTAATTCTCAGACCTTGAACAAGTCATTTAAACTCTCTGTGCTTCCGTTTCCTTGTCTGTCAACCTTGAATTGTAATGGCCCTGCCAGGTCTGTAAAGCCTTAGGACAGCACCTGACACATCGAAAGTTCTGCATCAATGTGAGTCCTTATACTCCTGTCCAGAAATCCCTCCCTTGCTCTAGTACCAAAGTAAACCTCGGCCTGGGTCAGTTCCAGTCGTTAGAAGAGCTGGTGGAGTCACTGCGTCTAACCCAAAACAGGTGAACACAGACTTCAGGAACCAGGCTAGCTGTGGTAGTTACATAATCTGGTGTCAATTTGGGACTTCTCTCTCGGTTCCCCTCAACCGTTCCATAACACAAGTGGACTCCATAGCTGCCTCTGCTTTTGAAGAGTAAAATTGTCATGTATGGCAAACCATAGTTGTCATTCTGCTGGTTAGGATGTTCGTTGTTTTACTTTTCTGGGGCTTACCAAACCAAACCCGCTGGCCATCCAATCAATTCTGACC